TGAAGAAGAAGTAAAGCAAATTTGGGAGAAGATGTAGGACTAGGAAAACCAAACTGGGGAAGGGAGGCTTTCTATAATTAACAGGAATGGTGGGAATGCTTATGAAATGCAAATCTAGTATAGTTGTGATGGTAGTGATCGCCATGTTTTTTGGTGGAAATGCTATGATCTCAATCGAAGTCCTTAGACAGGTGACTAATAATTTTGGTGAAGGGAATGTTGTGAAGAGGATGGAATCATCAAAACATGGGTAACAAGTGATGAATGAGTTGAAGGATGAAATTGCAGTTCTAAGTAAGGTCAAGCATATTCATTTGGTTGCACTTTTAGTCTATTGCATAAATGACAATGAGAGCATCGAGAGGCTCCTGGTACATGAATATATGCCACAATGAACTCTTGTACAGCACTTTGGCAAAAGCTTAGTTTTAGTCTTTTACTTTAATAAATTTATAGGTTTTCAACCACAATCTTATATTATGACACTTTTAATCTCTTATATATTTGAATAAAAAAAATAGGCAAGTTGACTTTACCATTAACATTAGTTTTGTCCCCACCACCGCCATATAAGTTAATTTATGCCAACTAGACATGACACTGTGGCTTCTCATGAGTGGAGAAATTTAAATAAAAAAATGATGATATAAGAATAAATTTTTTATAATATTTTTTATATAACTTTTACATATTATTAAATAAATATATGTATCCAATATCATATGTTCTAAATAAATAAAAGAATTAATTATTTAAATAACACATAAAATTATATAAAAAAGTGATACAAAAAATCTATCTTTAAATCAATTTTCAATAATAAAAAAATAAGTGGTTTAGTTGGCCCAAAAACTAAATATAAAAGAAGCGAATGATGAGACAAATCTTCTTTACTTCTTTCATCAACAAGAGAATCTAGGGTTAAAAGCTCAAAGAATCTAATTGATTTTCACTGCAATCTCTGTTGGTAGACCACAAATTTAACATGTATTGTTTGTCGTTGACAGCTTGATTTGTCTTAGGGTTTGGTCTTCTCAATCGATGAACAACAATAAAAAAGCATGAATATTGTAAGAATTGGTATAGATTAACCTTAATTAAATAGTAGTTAAGGATTAATTAATTTGATTTTGTGTTTAATTTCATTGTTAAACTTTTGGGCTTTGATGGGTGTCAATGAAATTGAAATAAGAAAGTAAAATAGTTTTGTTTTATGTTTTAGTGTTTAATTCTTTCCTTCTTTTTTGTAAAATTATTTTGTTGTAAAATTAAGATTATACTATATGTTGGCTACCTTTTAAGTTGAATACAATGGATATATATATATATATATATGTAGCAATCTTTAAAAATAAAAACTCAGAAAATTGTTAAAATTTCCTTAAAAATGTAGTAGGCTTCTTGAGGAAGCTTTACTATTTTTTTTTATTACATTATGTACTTTATTCAAACAATTGAAATCCACTTTAAAATAAAGGGGAAATCTTTTACTTTTAAGAAGTCATGTTGACATGCCAAGCTAACATAAATTAGCTTATGTGACGATGATAGAGACAGATAATGAAATGTTGATGATTAGGTTATAACATTATAATTTGACGTTAATTATATGATATTTTTTTCAATTCAAATAAACGAAAAACTAAAAATATTATAATAATATAAAGTAAAAATTATAAATTATAAATTTATTAAAATAAAACACTAAACCTAGCCTTTTGCCCAGCACTTTTAGTCCAAATTCGAGCCTTAGGTCCCTAGGCTTTGCTTCTGGAACGAACGCGACCAGTTCAGCCTCCCCTTTCTCCCCGCTCGTTCGGGCATTTAGTCAAGAATTCAGTATATAGGTTTGAGGAGGATTGAAAGGGAATTCCAAAAAAATTCATAAATATTTAAAAATATTATAATTATAAATTTATAATTATATAAGTATTATATCCACAATATTACAAAATAACATTAAAAAAATAATAAGTTTTATGAAGAACTTAAAATAATATTTTTTATTTTTATTTAAGATTATAAATAATTAAAATATTTTAATATTTATAAAATTATTTAAATATTTTTTTTATTTTTTTTATTTTCAATTACCAATTACCGATTAAAAATATTTATATAATTTAATTTAATAAAGAGGACTTACATTTAAATACCAAAACATTTTCACTTTTTCATTTTATTTACAAAGGAAAAATATTTCTTGTATCATGTGTTCATACGCGCCCTTTCTATTGTGTTCCTGAAAGTAGAGTGAGAACGCGCTTCTTCATTCTTTCGCTGTCTTCCGTGCCTTTCGATGCTTCCATTTCTAGTCTCCTGCTCTACTCAGAAGTTCTAGAACAATCGGAACCTCCCTCCTATGCTTCCTCTTCAAACTCATCGGAGCACGGCATAGCCTCTGCTTTACTTCAGCTGTCGGAGACACCGAAAAAGGGAGAAACGATGAGCACCGTCGATAAGATGCTGATAAAAGGAATCCGGAGTTTCGACCCGGAGAACAAGAACGTCATCACCTTCTTCAGACCCCTAACCCTAATCGTCGGCCCCAACGGCGCTGGCAAAACCGTATCTATTCTTTCCATTTCTATTTACATTTCTCTCTCTCCCCCCCCCCCCCCCCGGGCGTATAATCATCTTGATAAAGCTATATTATGGGTTGATTTCTTGTCGGTTTTTCTGCAGACCATTATAGAGTGCTTGAAGCTTTCTTGCACTGGCGATTTGCCCCCAAATGCGAGGTCCGGTCAAAGTTTCATTCATGATCCCAAGGTTTATTATTTCTTCACTTTCTTTTTTTTTTTTAATCTTTTCTATAGTGAAGAATTTTCCACGATTTTTAGAGAAAAATGCAATCAATTTCTCCTTATTGTTGTTGGGAAATACATTGGAAACAGTAGGAAAATGGATAAATATGCAAATGAAGTAAGTCAAAAACGGTTGTGTTAAAGCTTAGCTATGGAATTTCATGTGTAATTTTCTAGGTAAATTTACAGGGATTAGAATGCAGTTATTCCTTTAATGTATAAGTAGTATGGGAATTTATAAATGATGATACAGGGAGACCTCAGATCTATAGCTGCAAAGTCGCATAAAATCCCTTTCGTTTTAACAAACATGTAAAGTTAATGGAGCAAGATACAACTATCTCTACATTAAAATGTAATTTTTCCTTTTTATCTTTTCTGTAACTGTTTTGAAAAGTATGTGGCTTTCTGGTTAATACATCAAGCTTTGTTAGTTAGTTTACATTATGTTTGAGGGGAATAAGGTCCTTGTTTATAGGTTGCAGGGGAAACAGAGACAAAGGGTCAAATTAAGCTGCGGTTCAAGACGGCAGCAGGAAAGGATGTAGTCTGTGTAAGGTCATTCCAGCTGACACAGAAGGGATCAAAGATGGAGTATAAAGCTATCGAGAGTGTGCTTCAAACTATAAACCCGCATAGTGGAGAGGTTGAAATTGCTTTAACTTTTAGAATGGTCTTGCTCTATCAAATAAACTTACCCTTGCTTCTTCCTTATTTGTGGATATAACCCAAGAACCTTTAAGATCTTAGATGGCTTCTTCAGCAACATAATTCACTTGTGATTTTTGTTTTGATTGCAAGTATGATTGTGATTCTTACCACCTGATTATTTTATTAATGTAATTTTCCCCTCATTTCCATGATATGATGATTATACAAGATCTCTAAGTGTTTCACAATACTTGTCTCTTCCATTTACCCTTTCTAGACAGCAATCCTCTAAGTGGATGGTTATCCTTGCAAATATGTTTTGCTTGTTCTCTTGTTTTAATCCTTTTTACAAGGGCAATCCACTTGGGCATTTTATGTCTGCTGCTGGTTGTGATAAATTTGCTTCATCCACTACTTTTAGATTCTTAAGTTTGTTTGTCTGTTTGTGTGGGGCAGGGGTCATTAGCCATGCATAGGGTTGACTATAAGATATTGTTTTAATGAATTAAACCATTCAAGTTAACCTAATCAATCAATAACTTGAATAGAGTAAATGGACTAATGATTAAGTGATAATAATGTGATGTTCTGAAATATAGTAAGAAGGTATTCACGTGAATCTGCTTTACCTTGTTTGAACATGCTATCTGTTAATGATATGTCTTTCATGGAAATGTATGGTTCTTTTGGAGAACTAAAATAGATTTATTTTCCCTGTTCCTTTCCCCTCAGCTCTCCTTTGTTTTGGCTTTTTGGAGTGGTGAGAGTGGTCATGGCAGGTAACTCATGCAGCCAAGTTGAATTGAACTTTAGCCTTCCCCATTGATTCATTCTTTTACCAGAAAAATCCCAGTTGGAAAAAAAGTTTGGTTTAACATGAACTACGTTAGTTCTGCTGTAGTTAATCTAACCAGGCTGGTACTGAGGTTTAGTTGAGTTAAAATTTTCTTTTACACTCTAGCTGTTAGCTAGGCTTGTAAAATGGTAGCTTTCAATATTAGAGATTTAGCTAGTGGACTGATGAATAATCCCTTTTAGTAAGGATGAAGTCCTCATGATTGACTGAGTAAAAAAATGGAAGACTGGTTTGGTGGTT